TGTCGCACTCTCCCGGTGACCCCAGCGCTTGACCCCCTGGGTCGGTCCCTGGTATGGTGGTGGTGGGCAGTTCCGGGCCAAGCTGACCCGTTCCCCGCACCCCGTCCGATCCAGCACCGCCCGCTCACTCGCTGGGCGGTGATTCGACAATTTACCAATTTTGGCGCGCACGAGAGAGCTCTTTGGGGGGCGATGAGCAGCGAGATGATGAGGTCACGTACATTGTCCTCTTGCTGCTGACCGCACACATACCGGAGGAAGCATAGCGAGAGAGAATAATACGTGTGCTGTGTGAAAGAAAGAAAGAAAGAAAGAAAGAAAGAAAGAAAGAAAGAAAGAAAGAAAGAAAGAAAGAAAGAAAGAAAGAAAGAAAGAAATACAAAAATTAAGGAAGGAAAGAAAGTTTCAAAAAATATGTTATTTCTGACATCAATAGCACTGCTTTATACCAACAGAAATAAAAATGTTATTTATTTGTCCGAGAACTGGCTTTTCCGCGTGTAGAGCTTTCTCCCTTGACTGTGACACTGGACCTTGCTGCTTGCGCCGGCTTGCACACACTTGCACTCAAAGGTCGCGGAGGAACATGCAGGTGCACCCAATGGGGTCCCCGAGGTATCCGGAGGTGGCGGCGCGGCGGAGGGGTGGCGGGGGGCAGGGGGCTGCAATGGGGAGCCGACGACAGAGCCAATGGCACGCTTGGCGCGCTGCTGCAGCTGCAGCGGGCGGCTCGAGGGCGGGCCTAAGTGGGCCGCGAAAGTCAGGAAGGGACTTTATCTGAAGCATGCACTGTGCTGCTGCTGCCGCCGCTGCTGCCGCCGCTGCTGCCGCTTCCCCGGGTATCGGTGCGGCTCCCATGGAACCTCCTGCTCTTCTCCCCGGCGCGGGTAGCCGGCCGGCCGGACGAACGGCACGAATTAGCCCCGCGGGGACCAGCGGCGCGGCGGCGACGCCTGCAGCAGAGTTAAATTAAATAGTTTACTCGGAATCACGACCGACGGCGTTCGCTTTCAGTTTGCGCGCCTATCGGCGGGTGTGAGGTGAGGGCCGCGAGGGAGCGTGCGAACATGTGCACATTACAATAATCTTGTGAATGTTTGGCATTTTCACACCTTACCGTAGCTTACGGATATCTGTCAACATGCTGGAAGCCGGATGTATTGAGATGAGCTGATTAGATCTAAATGAAAATATTCGCGGAAGTGGCGAGTAATTTAAGTATGAGTTTGAAAGCGTCCTTCTTATTATCTAGAAATTTTCTGCGTCCTTATAATATAATAAATCTAAAAATATAGAAAAATATTTGTTTATAGCATATCACACCTTAAATCCTTCTCCATTTACAGCGAAGCGTCGTTCACAAGTTGAAATCTGTTGAAAAAAATTGCCCCAAAACCTCGCCCAAAACTTTATTACTTTATGCATACAAAAAATGATATCCAAACTTGGACTTGGCATGAACGTCGCGGCGCGCGCATGTGTGAGTGCGCGTGTGTGTGTGTGTGCGCGACCCACATACGGCACATGCATACGGACGGTTTGGAAATGAAATTTATGTGTGCCGTTGTGCCGTGTGCGGTGGGGATGCGCGGAGTACTGCTAGCCTGTTCTGCTGCCTGCCCCTGGAGGTGTGGGCTCCCCTGCGCCTGAACGATACCCACCAAGGCGATACGGACGGCCCTGGTCGTATACCCCGCGAGCCAACGGCGAGCCCAACGGTGCCCCCGGGAGCGGTGCGCGCGGCGTGTGCACGGCGCCGCCGGGGCCCGCGTATGGCCCGCGGGCAGAGTGCAAGGGGGGGCCGCCGCCGGCGCTGGCCGCCGGTCACTAAAGGCCACGACTTTACACGGCGCGTAAAAGGAATGCGACACGCCCGCCACCGACTGCAGCTCCTGGTGGCTCTTGCTTGCTGCGAAATTAAATGCCGACTGATGGTGTACCATCCACTGCCGTGCGTCACTGCACCAAAGTAAAGAGATGGCCCCGCCGATACCAAACGGCAGCGGCGTGGCGTGGGGGGCTCCTGTAAAGTAGTGTTTTTTATGAATATTTTGTCTGCATATTTTTCTCATCTTTAGCTATACACGGTACCGTAAGAAATATCTTCTTTGCGAATTTTCATATTTTGTAATAACAGTTTTTTTAAAGTTGGCATCATACATTTACGACATCCCATTCATTACTGCTCGTTGCAGAAAACCAAGTCGATGAGTAGCGCTTTTAGACGCTTTTAGATTTTTGCAAATTTACAATTTCAAATCGCAATTCCACAACACATTTCACAGTAAAGTTTCATCAACCGAAAAAACATTTCGTAGTGTAGCAATGGTAGTTACCTATGGGATTTTGTTGGCGATCCTTTTTGTCGAGCACGCGCTGCTCTTCCCTCCGGCGCGCGTTGCGGCACGCGTTCACGCGTACCGCCATCCAGGTGTGTCCGCCCGCCCAGATGAGCCCCATGGGCCTCCCGGGCCCTGCCCGGCCCTCCTTTGCGGTGCGAACCGCCTGCCTCATCCCTAATGGTTCGAAATACCGTTGGCCGCCGCGTTAAACTGGCCGCCAGGTGGCAAGCAGCTACCGCGCTTCTTCGTAATGCTTGTTCAGTCCGAGTAACGTATCGGTCGCGGCAAGGGGAGGAGGAGGAGAGGCAATCCTTCCAAAAACTAACAAAAGCTGAAAATATAATAATAATGTTAAAACAACAAACGAGTATAACGTGGACTGTCGCCGTGTCCGTTTCCGATGGCTGAAACACGCCCAACCCCTTTCGGAATGCCGCGTGGAAATGCGAGCGGCTCATCAGCCGCTGCCCCGCGCTCGCTTCGCTACGCAGAATTGATTCGGCCGCAGAGGGATGAGACGTTGACGCGTTGTCCGGCGGCCGCTCTGGTTGTCATCGGGTAGACGGACGGTGCGGCGCGGCCCAGCGCAGCCAGCGGCTTGTTAGCCTGGTCGCTGGCCGGGCCTCCTGAACTGGCGGTGCACCGAGGAAAACGAAGCACTTCATTTTCAGCCGTCCGGCCGGCAGAGACAACCGAGACAACCCCCGTGTGGCCGATAGGGCATTTTGTATTCTACACCTATTCATTCTCACTAAGTGAGATGGCACTTGTAACGTGGTTTATGGGCTCGGCTTATTTTATTAAGGTCTGTTCACTGTTCACAGCCAAAGAAAAAACGTACGCGAGAAAAGGGTCATCAATGATCCAATGTGGTGCTATAAAGTCTGTTTACTATTTTCAAAGTTTTTTTTTTTTTTTAAAGTGTATATCTTTTTCCAGCATTGGTGAGCGCGACTTGCGCATTTGAAGGAGTCCCTCCTCATTTGACGCTGCCGGAGCGCTGAGCTTAGCCGCTCGGTGCGGACCACGTAATGGTTTAAAACGGAAATGCTGTCCTGACGGCGGCTCCTGGAGGGGCCAGTGCGGAGTGCGGCCGCGCCAGTGGGCCGGGCCGGCCGGCCGGCCGCTCTGCGACAAGCCTTTCACTGAATGAACTCCAGATTTCCGCGCTGTCGGCATAAATCTCGCGGACGTAACAGTCCGCGGTGGCGCGATGCCCGTGCGCAAACGGGGCAGCAAGCAGCAAGCGCTGGTCGCGAGCGCGCTGACCACTACGACCACGCGGCGTGCGCGGCGGCGCTGCTCCAGCGGAGAGGCATACCGGGGGACTATAACTGATCGCTCCGCTGTAACACGCGCTCTTTTGGAGGAGGACGTGAAACCCCGCCGCGCTCATCGGCATCCTCGTCGTCGTCGTCGTCCTGTCGCCGTTTACGGTCCCCCCGGCTCGAGGCGCCTGCCGGCTGTCGGCTAGGCCGGCCCGTGGCGCGCGCGTGTTGGGCGGGTCGGCCTACCCGGCAGCCGGCAGGCGCCTCGAGCGGCAGCTCGTCCACACGCCGTAATACTCGTCCCATTCTAACGCTCATTTTAAAGGACGAATATTCGTAAATACTTTCGGTTTTTGACACTACACCTTTGTTTGATCATCTAAACCGTCAAGTCGGAGTTATTGTAATCATTTCCGACAGTTTTCCTGACACCCCCATAGCTG